GCGCCTTTTACCAAAATTCCTTAAAATGTTTGGTCTACAAAAGCCCCCTACTTTGGAAAAGTTTCGAGAACATCGATTGAAGGCCACTCCGCTGTAATAGGTCGTGGCTTACGTGCAATGGCTCTTAAAAGTAGTCGATTTTTTCGATATGGCAAGATTTATAGTATATTCTGCTTGTTCTTTCACATAGAGCGATTTTAAAAGTTCTCTGATACTTTAGGAGCACAAAGAGTTTCCCTCGCAACTCGTGAAGCATATTTACGAGTAATAAAGTTAGTTATTATTGTTTTTCCAAAGACAAACCATTAGACCGGTGTATACTTTTTCCTGTTGCATGCAATACTATCAAAGAATATTTAATGACCTTCATAGAAAATTTTCTTTCTGTAAAACTTAAAAAAACGAATTAGTTACAGTTTGTGTATTTTCTATTGAAGGAAACAATTTTGTTTGCTCTTTCTGTCTGATGAGTTCCATAATGTTTTTCTAATATATTGGAAGAAAAATGATGATGTTCATCTGAATCGATGAAGGAAATATAATAATAATAGTTACCTGGAAAAAAATGATTAATTTTTCTGTGATGTCTCATTTGGAGAAGAAGGATGTTAGAAATAAGATATATTTTCTTCCTTGTCTTGATTCCGTCTGTTCTATTACAAGGCTATTGTGCACGAATGACGCTGATCAGTTTTGGGAATAAAGTTGAAGCCACAAATGATCTGGACCTAATTGGTACACTTTTCACTGTCGAATCTTAAATGTGCTAATTACTGTACAACAACCGTCAATTGTTTAATCTTTACGATTCAGCTGTCTCTCGTTGCCAGCTATTCTAAAGTGGCATAACTATACCTTCATCATCGTCAACGTCAATTGTCGGATCGATAACGATCACTCCTGATCTCTACTCGGAATACAATAAATCGTGTGACAACTGTCAAATGAAGCATTATTTGACTTGCGGTAGCCAAGTTCTTTGTCAGTGTCCGTCCATGACCTATTAGGATGCTGGGCTGTGCGCTAAACAGATGTACAACGGATCTTCACGCTTATCTACTAGCCAGTGCCGATCCAATTTACAGCTGATGTGTTTTAACAAGCATATGCCAACGTGAGAATTATCATTTCTACTCTTGAATTTTCCTCATTTACTAAACTTTTTAGTGTGTCTGGTAATTAATCAATTAGTCATCACTTTCGATGATATAGTAGTGTCCATATCCTCCTTTGGGCCAGTGCTAAATGGCTATAGGAACTTGGATTGGACTAATACTTGGTATAAAGATGCATATTTGGCGTAGGATTACGCGCAGCATTGACTAGCGGAGATTATGTAGCATAGAATGATTTTGCTGCGCCAATAAATATTTCCATTAATTGTGGAACGTTCACTGTCGTTTCATTTGTGGCTGCTACTGTACAGACCAACTCACTTATAATCCGTGTAACCGGTATACGTTCAAATGTCGTACAAAATACAATAGCAATCACAGTATACATGTTGACTCCTACTGTAGTTACGCTAGGTTGGACAAATATCGACACTATTAATCAGGATTGACACAATGATTACATCGTGGTTGATGATGTTTATGTTAGTCCTTGAATTTTAACACTGATGTACCGAATACTTTGTCATGAAATAGATATTACAATAATAATTCAACGCTTTAATAAATTGATAGAAAATTACAATTACAATAAATCAACTACAGATCACTAAATAGAAAATGAATTATTAACAATGCTCTCACATTGTACATATCGAGCAATACTAGTCCACACTAGTGAACTGGACGAACATTGGTACTTCAATCATGGTTCCAATACTGTTATTTTTTACTAAATAATCTGGATGTTTAGACTTTGCAAGATGATCGAAATAATGAAAAGATTTATTCACTTCGAATATACCGGCATTCTTTTTTTCTACAGAAAAATATTTTAATCCGCGTTCGACGTAATAATGTAAGATAGTTTACGGTACATTAATATCCTTAAAGTTTTTATTTTCTTGCAATGGTTGAGTGTGCAAACAGAATGCAAGAGACAAGAAATATTTACCTTTTAAAGGCAATTCTTTTAGAAGATATTTTAGAAAACCTAAGTTTGTTTTTTTATTTAATTGTCTATAATATTTTCATCTTCTGCGTCAAGATTTTAAAGTCGATGCTACGCCAGAAAAAAGACACTATTCCACGCGCTCGTGGTAGTAATCCCACTTCAGATCTTTAAGTTTTAGTGAAAACAGCGTCAAGATGTATTCTTCTTGCGACATGAAGTGGTTTAAACTTTCCGTTTCTGTTCTGGTTCAAGAAAAAGCGCAAACCAAAATCAAAATACAAAAAGATCAGTACGTACGGTTTATCCAACACCTAAGGAGTTACTATTTGTCAGCCTTTCGGATACGTCGAGTCATTGCACAACTTCAGCAGAAAGCAGAGTATAGGTGAAAATAGCGAAGTTAATTTTGCAAATGGTCTCGAAGGATCAAGTTCTTATGTTCGATCCTAGCTTCGTGCAAGGATTGATTTTGTGTTTTGATAGTGGGAATTTATATTCTCGCTTTCGTTCTATCATCCATCGTAAAATATAATGTACTCGGTCATGCGATTTTGAGCAATCGAAACGCGACAGTTTAAGCTATATTATCTCAGGCAAAATCGTGTTTCGAAAACGTCGGTTGTCTATAAGATCTTTGGAAAACCAGCTTGGATTTCCAGAAACCGGCGTAGCAATCCGTCGTTCTTTTTCTGTAGATAGATAGTACGAAGTGTCCTCAGCAAAATAGAATCTAAGTAAAAGTTTAGTTTTGCGTGGGTCGGGCGCTACGAACCTTTTTCTCGAGGCCTCAGGACTTCTCTGTCGTTAGATGCAGACTGTCAGAAATGCATGAAAACATAGGTTATCAACTATGCTGAATCTCGTGACAACATTTGTTTTTCAAAACAGTTCCAAAAACCTAGTGAAAAAGTATATTAAGTGAAATATCCAATTTTTGCCTGTTTTTCAGCAAAATCAAAAATTGCATAAACCAGTCAAGATCCATTCAGATTATATCAGGATACCAAGATGCATTCTATTTTATCTGCTCAATACTATGCGGTTCAATAAAAGTTTTAAAAAATTCAACAGGAAGTGCTTCGGTTTTTAACTTTTATTTTACCAAAAAACCTAATCAAGTTCATCATAAGATGAAATTATTGCTTTTTACAACGTGATTTTTCATTTCAAAAACAATACAATAATTAAATATAAATAAAATTTGGACAAATGCAATCTGTAGAAGGTTTTTGATTAAGTACAAAACATAAAATATCTAATGAATCACGTAATAAACCATAATATTTCGATGATTCAAAAAACACACTATAAAGATGTTTTGTAGGATAATATTTCACAATAGCATACCCTACAAAAAAATATTTTATCGGCACTGGTTGTGCAGGGGTGCACACCGGTGCCGAAGTTTTGTTTTCAATCACCATTTTGTTTTGTCAATTTCTATATTAACGCTACAGTCTACTTCTAACATTTTGAATGTCGTTCTGACTTTATCTTTCCTTCTTATAAGAGAAATGCCGAGGCAATGCCGCATGGCTTTGGCATGTCAATATGGTACTGACCAGTGCCGCATTCTAATACAAAATTCAGCGTAAACAACCATAATAAAGAACTAATTAAATTGATTAAATAAATTATCAGTGCGGCACTCTTTCGGCAGAAATATATCGGCACTGGTGCGCACGGGTGCCACACGGCACTGGTTCGGCACTTGCTGGGCACCGGTGCCAGCCAGTGCCAGTGACAGATGGTATGCCATGCGCACCCGTGCGCACTGGAATCGTTTTATAGGGTATGTTTTATTTAAGCAACGAAAAAATAATTTAATTATCCGAAAACGATGTTGTTTATTGTCATTGTTAACACAATATTGAACAAAATAACGAACTGATGTTCGACGTTTATTATACAACAATGAATCAATGAATGATACATATGATCACGTATAATACATCGACGATAAACAACAACACATTTGTTTATTGTATTATAAGCACATATTTGTTGCTGGTAACGATCGAGATCGCTATACGTACCATCATTTTGATTTGTCTCATCTGTTAGTCTATTTGGTGGTATTTTTCGTTCAGTTTTATTATGTAATGAAAAATCAATACTATAATAATAGGCTATTAATTCTCCATAATAACGAGTTACATGACAATTGGAAGTGATATGTCCAATAAGATCTTCTTGACCAGATGTTCCTATATTGCAACACGCTCCATGATGATCATATTGCGGCGAGTAATGTAAATAAAGATGAAGAATCAAATTTTGTAAACCAGTATAATAATGTTCATGAACTTCATAGTATCTACCTAATAACTGATCAGGCATCATACTTGTTTTAGTCCAAAATACACGTTTACCATATAATAACCGTATGCTACAAACATATAAGGCAAAATATGCTATGGTTTCTAATGATAAAAATAAATAAATCTTTGGTAATAAACCATACAATAACATATTTCGAAATTCAGTGACTTTGATATATGATAAATCCTTAACTGCTCTCATTTTCCGATTAATTCTGTCAGCTTTTCTTGATTCTTCTAAGTATGACGTTGTTCCACGAAGTATCAATGGTTGTAGATAAAGATATTGTCTTTTATTCATACTTTGTATCCCGTGTATATAACAAAGAGAACAACAGTAATATCCAGTATGACCAATAAAATTTAAAATAAGTTTCAATGCTGGACAATCGCCTATTATTTCATAAAATTTAATATTACATGATGGATTTGGACTAACTTGAATATCTATAAAACAAACTAAAAGCCCATTGGAAAAACAAAAAAAACACAAAAATCTTGTAGAAAGTCCTCATCACGAAAATTTCAGAATGTACGCAACTTTGGATGCTATAGCTAGACAAAAAGCGCCAACTTTCAAAGTTGTCATATTTTAATAAAGATTCGACTCTTGAATTTTTATAACTCAACAATCCATAAAACTGCTGATATATCACAATTGTAACACGCATGAAATAGCAGCGTTTCTGTATAGACAAAAACGATCGCGTCATGACTAGTTCAAAATTTTAACCGTTAATTAAAAGAAAATCGTCCGTAGTAGTGTCGCTGACTAGTCTGCCGAACTATATACTAACTATGTCTGGACTAGTCTAAATATGAAAGAAAGATAAAGACACATATTAGAAGCAAACATGTGATAATTTGTTTTACATACCTGCCATTGAACCAACTGAGCCATTGCGCTATCAGCTTATCCATCAGTTTATGCATGCTAATTTTTAGTATACGTGAAGAAAATTTCGCCGGAGCCTTTTAAGAATTTGGGTCTTCGTTGCAACCTTATCGTAACTTCCGAATAAATAGTTTTGAGCAAAAACATTATGTTTTAAAAATTTTGCTGGTTATATGGTTGAGCCAACGGGAAAGTTTTCGAAAAAATTCTTTGCTCAAAAATCCCTCTAACGTGCGTCAATTCGGCTTTCAATTCAGTTTCCATTCGTTCCAAGTTTAGCTGGAAAATGGCGTTAGTACGTTATTAAGTGCTTAAGAGGTCATTGATTTGAACGTTATTTTATAGAAGATATCAATATAATTACAATCCTATGACGATGAATTAGTGGAAGTAGCGTTAGAGAAACCCCAAAAATTAGACATATGATAGATCTGTAATACTACCATGATAACTTTACGACTATGATGTACTTAGAGAACACAAGAGAGTAAAATATTTTTCAAGACTGTGAACGAGTTTCTATTAGACGTTGCTACTGGAACACAATGAAAATCTGGCTTTCATGAATTAAAAAAGGATAGTTTTTAAAAACCAGTTTATCTGATATTAACGTAACGAGATATCTTGAAGGCTTCTCATATATTCCAATAAAAATCAACAAATTCATCGGTTATATAGACTATTTGCAATCATTATCAATTATTGTAACATATTCATTGATGGAATATTCAGTATGTTTGACGCACATTTTAAATAGAATAGGAAAACATTAGATTCTGACATATGTGCAACAGTAAATGCAGGGGATTTGGAAAATTTAGTAGGATATAAAATAACATCGAAACGGCGAGATAATATACGTTTTAAAGGAAAGTTGATTGATAGTTTATCATTTGATCTTTTAAGTGCATAACGACAACGACAGAGCAATCAGATTATTCGTCAGCTCAAAAGTACTGTGCGAAAACTATACTTCCATCTCGAAATATTTGAAAATGCTGTAGTCTCTAGGGAAATGCACCTGGGTTGTCTTGAACGCCCTTTTGCGCGTAAGCATAGAAAACCTCTCTAACATAAGCATCTTCATGAAGAAGATAAAGAAGAAGTACTTCTTAGAGCTGGTATGAATTAAAAGTTGATGAAGTTGAATACGACAGGAAGAGTAAAAAACATTGAATTCATCGGTTAAATAATAATGGAATTTTGACTCTTAACTAATATATTTGTGTATAACTTACTTAACCAGGTGTTTTTCTATGCGAAAATGACGATTTCTGACTAACGATCGAGAGAATCGGCATTCACCTCATTCGAGAGAAGAACGTATGAGCCTTCAAATGCATCACTTAGTCATAATTTTTCATCGGAAACGACTGAAATAAAAGTCAACGTTTTTACGGAGAAAAGAACCTGTCCATTTGGAGAACTAAAGAACCTAAGAAAATATTATATCCATTGTTGTTCTTGTGCAACTTGACGTCCTAAGACCAAATCTGGTTTGAAAATTCTCTGCGATCAAACTTCGGCAAACGCAGAACATTTTAAAGTGAGCAGTTGGAATGTTTGTACATGCAAAAGCTTTATGATGGCAGAAGATTTACCAGAACTTTATTGCAATTCTGCCAGACAGTAATAAATGCTCTATACACACACAAAGTTTCAGATTGCACAAACAACTCATATGCAATGCTGGAATGTTATTCACCATGGAATAAGTCGTCAGTCAAAATTATTCACAATATTCTTTATACAAAAAACAAGCTAAATCGAAAAGGCCTCAGTACGGTCTATATGCATCCGTCGTCTCCAACTCATACAATGTATGTATGGTAGTGCCCAACTGAATTGTTGAATGTATGAGATGCGTCGTAGAATAGTAAAGTGAACTTAGTGCCACAATAATTGTATCAATATCATCATTTGCCACGTATGGCAACAGTTTATCCAATGTTAGACGATCACCTTCTTCTGCGCTCAATTTCTCGAGAAACTGTTCCAACAGCCTCTGTGTTCCCTGCTGATGTTGATCGTGTAGATGTGCAATTGTATGGTGTAGCAGTATCAAACACTCCTCATGCTTCTTTAGATAATCAGTATCGTCGTTGTCTTCTTCTGTAGAAGTGTGGTTCATCATTATCTGGCGTCTTCTCACCCAGGTCTGTGTCATAAGAAAATATTTACTCCAGAGGCTGAGACTTTCCGATAATTGTTGACAAATTTCACTAACTTTCGAGTGAAGATTAGCAATGAAACCGCGATGTTGCAATTCTTCAATGCTGGACGTTTGTTGATTACACTCACTGATACGAGTGAGAGAGCTATCGATATTGTGAAGCATGCGAAACACATCGATCTGCTGTTGAACGAGGGTGCGGTAGTGAAGAGAAGAAAAGGAGTTTTTTAGCCAGAACGTAGATGGTTCCATGTCAGCTTAAATAGCACAGAACAACAGTCAATTTTCGAATTCTTATAATACTATAAAACTGCAAAAGGAGTGCGGAAGCTCGACTCAAAGATCTGGTGTTCTGTTTTGCACAAGAATGAACAGATTTTCCACCTACTGCGCTTTTTTTATCATTTTTCTAGGGCTGATGGATGGTTACTGTAAACTAAGGTGAGACTAAATTAGTTTACGGAGTTTTAATAACCATAAATCTGTTGAAAATGGATGAACGAAACTTGTATTTTACCTAGACTGTCACTGAAAAAATGATATATGCTTCGACGGGGAATCGAACCTCATGAGCTCTAGTAACAAGTCAGATACTCTACTACACTGCGAAGCACAGTCTAACACATATCATTTTTTCTATAAAAGCCTAGATCAAATAAGTAAATGTGAATTAGTTCTATTTTCGTTTTTTGTATTAAAAGCCGACAAAGAAACCATGTTTCTCGCTACCAGAGCGAGAACATAACAGTTACTGTGCTTCATATCGTATACTCGCGAGATATTAGAGTGACATTTAAGCTGTTACAACTTACCTTGCACTACTAAATTTCTTTGTACACTAATCAGTTGTTGAAATTTAGTCCTCTGTCTGTTCAGAAACTGTCCTTTTTCTAGGTCGATTTTCGTCACCTTATCAATAACTGTCTTTTTCTTATCATCGTGCTCTTCATTCACTTCGCCATCCACTTTTTCATGCGAATGCAGTAACAGTTGGTCATACACAAGATGCATCGTTCCCACTGCATCCTTACATTCCAACAGTGTCTTCATAATATTCTCTTTCAACGTATCCAGTGCAAAAACCGGAAAGATTAGCATCGTCAGAAAGATACCAATTGAAATACCAACAAAATTTTCTTCAATTCGAAGGAGAGCATAGTTTCCAGCTGGCAATGCATCACCGTAGGGTAGACGACCGAGATTGATGACTATCGGTGTTATTGCAGCAACCGAACCTGCATAGGACCAACTTGGCATTTGTTTTAAGTAACCGCAGATGAGAATCCAAGGTACAAACATGGCAAATGTGTAGGAGACATTATCGTGAACGGAGATATAGGTGACGTAACCGTACATTGCACCGAGTAACGTGCCCAAGATACGAAGTTTCATGGCAGTGAATGCACCTCCAACTGTGTCGCCCTATTTAAAGACAGAAAAGTGTGAAAAAACCATTATTACCTGTAAGTGCCACTTCACATTCCGTCTATATAACCAATTTCTATACGTCTTCGTCGTTCTCCGACAGATTACATCGACGAATTCACTCGTTCAGGGCCGCTTTCTCAGTTAGAAAATGTAACTTAAAACTTCTTTTGCCTTTTTTCACATATTTTTTGCTCAAACACTTATTGAATGCCATATTTAGTTAAACGCTTCTATGATGGGGCAATGCAGCAGAATAGCAGACAAATTTATTCAATCGAATATCTCCTTTTGTCCTAAAATTTTCTGAAAAGATAACTAATGAATTGTTCTGATTATATTTCGTGTTGATTTGCAATCGTTCGTCTGTCTGTGGATGCTGTCTCTTAACTTCATTTTGTACTGACTTTGTTCAGAAAACTCACAAAAATTGCCGTCTAGCTTTAACTTTTGACATTTACATTTACTTCTTCGCTTTCCAAGCTATCTTGATTCTGTTTTTGGTGTGTATGTCGATACTTACCTGCGTCATGCACAGTGCAATCAGAATCCACTGTCCATTTTCGAATGCTGCTGCCAGCCTTGGCACCAACACAAAGATCGACCCGATACCAACAATAAATGTACTTTTCACAGCTGACATCAGTAACATCCAGTCTGGTTTGTAATAATTTAACTTTAAATACTGTTCAAAGTCCATATACGATTTGACTGTTAATAGAATCTTCCTGTGTAGCGGGGTGTTAGACGAAGAACTGCCACTAGTTGTAGTTAAGGGCTGCTTGAGAATTGTATACTTTTCAATCAGGCGAGTGATGGCTTGGATTTGAAAAAGAAAAAAAGCGATGGAGAATTGATCGTGGGCATCGATTGTAGGAGATGGCAACTGGAGAATACGCTGAAGGTAACTGATGCGAGCAGAGACGTAGGCTCGCTTCGTAGTTTGAAGTGCTGCGGCCAAGTCGTTGATAATCTAAGGAAAAGACAACAATTTGAGAGGTTGAGAAACAGCGGCTAGAAATTGCAATCAAAACTAGTTATTACCGAGCCTGTTAAAACACGGAACAGTCACGAGTTCATTCGCGAAATTTACACAGGCTGCTGATCACAAGCTGAGTCACTCTTTTCGGCTTCAATCCCTTTCTTGGTGTTGATTCTGTGCGTGTAACAAAATTAAATTCTAGATTTTCGAGAAAAAGCAATTCACAAAGGCCGATCGCTTTTAAAATTCGCGCTTTCACTTTGAAAAAGAGGGAGCTGATGTAAAACTCTGTTTGGGAATGAAAATAGCTTTTCGCTTGCGTCTCACAGTTTCTTGCGCTAAAACTCTTTTTCTTCTACAAGAAAAATAAGCAAGCTGTAAAATTAACTCACCTTCGCAAACTCTTCCTTCTTCACTTTTCCTCCCCGTGTTGTCGTCAAATACTTAATCACCTCCGTCTGTCGTGTTACCATATCCAATAGGCTGCTTCTCAGTGCCTGCGCATAGTGCAAATGATAATCATTAAATTTTGCACCTTTAATCATCAGCATCATCGAACACACGAAGAACATGAGTGAAGTAATGAACTCTGTTTGTTCCCTTAAAGTGAGATCCAGTATTTTCAATTTTGAATGATTGAATAGTCGTTGTAAGAGGCGTACGGGTTCGAAACGAACCTCATTGAGACGATTTTGCATGATGATCATTGATTCACGAATAAACTGTTCTAAGATTTTTCCTGTAGAAGACGAGCAGAGATTCAATCTCTATTTCAGTTAAATTCTAAGTTTTTAACGCACGCTAGTGTACAAAACCAGTGTTTGGATGAACTTTAGAGCCTTCTTTTCAGTTTTACAGGGAAGTCCGAAGTAAGTGGGCAGAAATATTTGAAAAATTTCTTTCCAAAAATGATGAATCTACTTCATTCAGATTTTATACTGCATCAAATAGGTAGTTCAAGCAAAAAACGTGTGCAACCCCTGAAGAAACGTCTTGCACGACAAAAGTTTTTAGGTTTCAAATATACTTACCCTGTACTTGTGTCACTTGCGATGCAATTTCATCATCCGACAGAAACCCTTGTACACT